GTTGACAGATCGTGATATCAGGCCTTGAAAGACTGTTGCTATCTAGTCCCTCCTCTCTGGATAGGGATTGGGCTTTGTCTGAAGACTTTTAACTTGAGAAAAATAAAATAAAACAGTGAAAGAAGAGCTTAGGCAGAAAACTTGGAAGGGAAAGATACTGGAGAACAGAAATAGATTCTTCAAGTGTAACATAAGAGATGTGGTCTATCTGGATGTTGCTGTTGGGAAGAGATACATGTAAGAGACATCATGGGGAAAGAATCAGGGCTTAGTGACGGGAGGATAAAGAAAAGGCAAAGGGAGCAGTGCTTTCTGTTTTGGTTTTAGGATAACATGCTTTTGCGTGAGTTTGGGTTTGAAAAAATGAAGGGTTATGTGTCAAGCTTCTAGAATGTTCAACAATGACATCAAGACCAAGGTAATTTAGAAATAGAAATTGGGATTGAACTGGGAATATAAAATTGTGGTTCATCTTACAAGAACGTTGGAGTTCCATGACAGTGGGTGGAATTTCTGCAGGTGAATCTATAAGGAGAAAATATTTTAAAAAACCAACTAAATTTTGGTATATGTAAGCCATTCCTATTAAGGACTACTAAAAGTTTTATTTGAGTATAAGTTTGAAAGAGTATTATGGCTTTGTGAATTTCATCTAGAACAGAGGTGTTCTTACTTACACATAGAGAACTCTCACTTGCATGAGGTTAGCACTGCTGTATAATTGTGCCAGAAAAAAAGATCATCAGGGTGCACTGACTGACTGACTCTGTTCATTTATGGCCTTTGTTTATTCTCCTGTCCGGGTGAGCTTTTCATTTTCTAGTTACACGTCTAGATGGTTTCAATGTCAAGCACGTCTGGCAGCTGCAGATTCCTGGGTATGTACCGGTGCTACTTCATATTCACAAAGACTGACAGTGCTAATGAGGCTTTTTCCCTGATGTTTACAGAGTCATTTGTTGCTTTGCATCTCTGCGACATTTCCAAAATAGAAAAGTTATTTACATTTTGCTGTTTAACATTTCTGGAACTATTTTTCTTTTCTCCCTCTCTCTTTTTCCCCCTCTTTTCCTGTAATAAGGGTGGTGAAATAGGTGGGGAAAAAAGTTTAGAGAATGAGGTACACTAAATTGTACTTGAGAAGAACATTTTGCATTTTGTATATGTACTTCTAAAATATCTGTGCATGTTTCATCATATGAGATTGAAAATGTTAGGACACTTCAGGAAGTCATTTTAAAAGCATATTTTAAAGAGCTTATTTACTAATGTATTATGTACCTGAAAACCTAAGTGAGAAAAATGTGTAGATTTGTGTTGCTGAAATCCCCCTTTCTTGTCTTCCACATCTTGTTGGCATGCTTAAATATTTAAGTCTGATGGAAAGAGGACCTTGATGTTGTGGTGGAAATACAACAGTGGCCGTGAACTATCATCCACTTTGTCTTTTCTTATGAAACTCTGCTTTCAACAGTGATAATGATCCGGCAATACAGTCTCTGAAATGACAGTTTCTTTTTCTTTTCTTGGTGTAGATTGAGATATTTCTAAGAGCACTTCATCGTATTGTCACATGAATTGCTAGGAAAGGATCTGAAGATTGCTTCTGTTTTGGGTTCAGTCAAATTTGTTGTTCACTTATTCCCCAGGTTTAGCACCCATTTGGTTTGGTTTGTTTTTTGGGGGCGGTGAAGTGGGACGGAAGGTGGGATTAAGGAGGAGAGGCTAGAATGTGCTTGAGAGTGTCCTTGAATCCATATTAACCTGTAATGGCCTAGGATGGCTGTTATGAAATCATAGAAGTGGCTAGAGGATGGGGTTCAAGGGCTGATAGTGTGGGATAGCTGTTAGAGATCAACCCTTTATTTTGCAGTAAAAGGATCTGAAATGCAGAGAAATGAAATTTTATGTACTTGGTCACATAGATAATTAGTAGCTGAGGTGGAAGTAGAACTTGGGTTTCTTGATTCCTAGCCTGGAACTCTCTTCAATATATCTTCTATGCAGATATGATGAATTTCTATTGGTTAAAACATGATGCATAAACAGTGGTGCATAATGGTTAAGCTGTTATTACTAAGTTTCCCCAACTTGTTGGGTGATAGGTAATTAATCATTTACAAGTAAATTTGTTTTCTAAATCTCTGTGATGTCATCTTTGAATGGACCTTCTGGATTGAAGCAAGACATTGATATCTGTTGTGTGTAGTAAATTGTTATACTAAGAATTGGCTTCTATATTCTATATTCTAATTCAGTGACAGGGCACTATATGGGTTGTTTTTGAGTTTATTTAACCTGGGTTCAACATTTCATCTTCTACAAATATAAGATGAGGAGATATACTTTAGGGTACTCCAAAGAACTATGTATCTAAAATGATTTTGGAGAGAAATCGACTCTAGAATTCTGTGGTATCACTAGATTAAGCAAATTCCTGACTTTAATTCTACTTAGTGACTAAGTAGAAGCCAATAAGAGATAAAACTGGAAACCCAGAAGGCAGACAAATCATTGAACAAGTAGCTAGATAACTACAAAAGATTATAGCTCAAAAGTTGTCTTCCATTGTGTATTGCTTTTTTTTAATGTTCTCAGCATTTTGAAAGGTTTGCTTGGACTGTGATAGTTATAGATCTGTATTCTTTGCATGACCAGGAATGTGGGCTTTGTACCATCATCCATTATCACTACGTCTTGTATCTCCAGTGAGCATTCAGTCGCTCTTGAAATGCACATGCCATGAGATCCTATACTCTTTTTACTGTAATCTTAGATATTTTTTTTGAGTAACAGTTCTTAGGAGAATCACATTAAATATGATTTGATGCATTAATGTCATTAATGATTCTGTTGATGCTGCTAATATATAAGTACAACTCCTAGGCACTGTGATGAGCACAGAATTTAATCCTTGAGAGGAGGATTGAGTTCCAAATGAGGAAAACTTAGCCTCACATGGTTATGTGATTGCCCAGCCCAGTCCTTGAGATGACACTTGTCACCATTATGACAGATGTCATTTTAATTATTACACAGCCCTGGAAGTGGCTGGGAAAGCTTTACCTACTGTTCTAACTCATTAGGTGTGTTATTGGATTAGTTTGTCAAAAAAAAAAAATTTAGAATGTTACACATAGGATTTACATTCCTGGAAGTTAAGCTAGCTTAGTTTGGTTAAGGAATTATTTTTAAACAATTCCTTTTGAGAAGAAAAAGATAACATTATTCATTTAGCTAACTGGTTATTTTTGTTGGGAGGAGTCTGCAAATCTCTAGTTAAAAAAGAAAAAGAAATTCATACTATCAATGAGGATTTTTATTACACTACCAAGGATGGAAGAATCATGCCAAGGTATGCCCCACAATGCCTATGAAAAGTCATTACGTCATGTTTAAGTGGAAAATGATGTAATGAGTTATTTAAAGCTATCCCAGAATTGGAGCTAATATAGTTTTCTACAGTATCACAGATTATAACGTCTCCTGTGTGTATCTTCATGGTGATGAATGTTTGAATTCTCTATATTAATGTCAAATAATTGTGTCAATAATATGATAATTGCCACTGATTTTAAAATAGCCCACTAGCATTTTACTTCATATTTCAGTGTAAATATTGATCTAATAAGTCAATTTTTTTCTATCTATATCATCTCTAGTTTATTTTATTTTGACCTTCATTGTGTACATTAATATTTTCCTACTCTAATTTTCGTAAAAACATAATTCAAAAGGTGCCTTTTAATTTGTACCCATTATTTTGCTGGAAAAAAAATGTATCATGACCTAGTAATGTAGTTATGCTTCCTTTTCACTTAGTTTCCTCATTATTTTAATGAGTCTTTTTTGTTAAACGTACTTATTTTTTATTCCTCTTTTCTGATACCTCTTATAATAACATAGCAACATTTAGAAGGGATTGGATAAGAGAGATACACCATTCGTACTCCAATTAAAGTGAAAAGCAAATTTCAGAAAAGAACATAACTCAAAAAGAAAATGAAGTGTCACATGATCACTGTCATTCAGTCAGAGTGGCTAGAGAGAAGGTACAGCAGCATGTCAGACCTGTGGGGTAACATGCGACCTACTTTCACAGTAGGACTGGAGGGAAACATGTTATGTGTCACAGTGTTTCCATGGTATAAGGGCAGCACTTATTATAAAGGTTTTCTTGCCCAGAAAGAGAAACAGAAGAATTTTAATGTGTGGTAGTTCATTAGATTATCTTTGGCTTCCATAGTAATTGCTAACCATAATGCTTTTATGCTGATGAAAATAATGATGATAAAAATCTAATAAAGTTATCTTTAAATTTAGAAGAGTTATTCAATGACCAATGCACTTGAGGAAGACTAGATCCAGGGCTGCTATGTTGTAACCTTGGGCTAGTCTTCCTATCCTTTTGTGTATCAACTTCTTTGTCTGAAAAATAAGAGGCCATACTAAATAAACTCTAGGTTATGTTCTGCTTTGCATGTGCCTTAACTTATGTTTGCTAGGAGAGAATTTTCTTTACCTTTTTATCTTAGAAGAAGAAAATACACTAGGGAAAAATGTACAAAGTTAGATTTTGTAGCCAGTGGCTCAGCCATAGATGGATACATGGTTATTTATTTTCGTTTCTATTTTTTGGGATAGGCAAGTACTCTAGGTCATGCAGTTGGGATTGAGGGATGATGGTTTATGCTGTTATAGACATTTGATGGCTACAGGTTGGAGACACAATGTTCTTTCCCTGAGGCTGCTCCTGAGACTCTTTAGGAAGACTCCTATTCTTGAAGTAGCTTTTGATCTAGTTTATCTCATAAATTCATTTCTAATTTTCATTTGAAATTAAAAATACCAATACAGGTAATATAATTTGCTTTTTTTTAGCAGATATGTTTAAGACAAGGTAAATAGCAATATTACTGGTTTTCAGAAACAAGTGTTATTTGAACATGTTTAGAGAGAGAAGATTCTTACCTCTGAATTTCATTGATTTGTGCTTGCAGAACTTCAGATGGTGGCAAAGTGGTTGGCACCATAGAAGTCAGTGTCGTGAAGATGGGGGAGATCGAGGATGGGGAAGCCGACCACATCACAACAGATGTGCAGGGACAAAAGGTAGGATCGCAATCAGCTCCTTGCACAAATTAAATTAGAAAGGATCAGCTTTGCCAGATGCCTGTATCACTAACACTCTGTGGGGTTTGAAATCTCATTATTCAAAAGCTAAATGAGAATCAGCTCTGGAATTGAAGTACTACATGAGTGTTTCATCCTCTGAACCAGAGGGTCCATTTGTATGGAACGAGGCCGGGCTATGCACCATTCAGAAACACCTTTCTCTTCACTGCCAGCTCCCTTGCTGACACTGCCTCTTCTCAGCTGGAACAAAAGTATTGATCATGGTTGCATTCTGTCATAATTAACCCTGCATGAGATGCACAGAAGATTCTGGGAGGGCTTTTCCAAAACGTAACGTGCTCTCTCCTCCCAGAGGTCTCATTGGAAAGAGATGCAATTTTAATTTGGATTTCCTTTTTATGTGATAGAAGGCAGATTTAACAAGAACTGCGTGCCTTGTGAAATTGTACAGAGAGAGGCAGGAAATAATATATTGCAGAGGGACAGCTCTAGCGGAGGGACAACGCCAGCCAGAAGCAGCTTTTTTGAAGCCCATGATAAAGGCTCAGTGCAAAGAAATATGTGTACAGAATTTTCTCTTCCTATTGCTTCCTTTCCCTAAGAAAGAAACACCTGATATAAATATTAAACTAAATTCCTTTGTTAGGAATGCAGTTGCCTATTTTATGGAAGCAATTGAAGCACAGGAACATATTTTAAAAATACCAGTAGGATTTTTCTTTTTTGGGGGGGAGGGAGGAAATGAGTTGTTTTATATACTTTAATACCTACCTTTTCATAAATGAACATTTTAAAATTATAAGACCACTGTGATGTATTTTCTAGTTTATTTTTCTTATCTTGGAGCATGTTCAATTTTGATACTTAGGAAACATTGACATGGAAGAAGATGTTTATCCAACACTTAACAAATAATTAATTTTTACAAAATATCTAAGATTTTCAAAAAAATACTTTTCTTGTACCAGAATCAGCCAGCATCTTCTATGTTGCCCCTAAACTTTGCTATTCTTTATTCCCTCACGTTCCCATTGGGACATTATTATGTATCATAAAAATATTCCAAGAAGGCCTAAAGTTTAAATCAGGTCACTTGCAAATGTCAGGGCTGGGGTAAAGTTTGGCAGGAGCTCCTCACTGGGTTTCTGCATTCAAGACCCCTGTCCTGGTTTGGTCCCTTCGTTCCAGCATTGTTCCTTTTGGAGTCCCATATAAGATTCATCTTGGTCACCATCCCATGAACTCTTGTATCAAGTTTAGGGAAAGATGATTTAGATGCTAAGTGGGGGACTGGATGCAGGGGTAGACAGATTACCATACGTGGACCTGTAGCCATGGACCAGGAGACCAGTAGCAGAAACCCTTCCCATTTCAAAGCAGAGCCACTTTCCTGGCTCTACTCCCAGCCACTTCCCCTTTCTCCTCCAGCTCACCCGCCCTTCGCCTCCAGACTGTCTCTGTTGGAGATAGTACACACTGAATCATGCTCTTTTCATAGAGAGAGAACTTGATACCTAGGAAAATGCCCCACCTAAGTACTTCTGGGTCAATCATCAGAACTTTAAAAAAACAAAAAGGTGTAACTGAGCTATTCTAGAAATAGAAGGCGGCAGTAGACACCATGGATGAGTCATAAGTTGACAAAGAAGGGCAGCAAACCAAAGATGGCAGCATCTCTGTCGTGTCTGGATTTTTCAAAAACAAAACAAAACAACAACGACAAAAAAAAAAAAACTGACCTTTTGTGAATATTTTATAAAGTAACTATCAAGTCTTTTGTTAATCCCTTATAAAACTCATTATTGAGTGAAAAACATATTAAGATGCAATATGTATGATATTTAGAAGAATATGTGGAAATAACTTTTCTTAGTGTTTTCAAAATGTGGTCAGAATTTTGGGTGAGTATTATATTAGAACTACAAGTGATGGACCCTTCTGTAGATCTGCTAACCCCAAATCCACAGAAAGGGTATTGACACCATTTGTTACTAATGGTGATTTAGGTCTTGAATGATTGACATATGTGAAAAGGGAAAAAAACTGAAATAGAAGTCATCCCTAAAATAGCATTGTTTTTACTGCTTTGCCTAATTTGAGAATGAAGGAGTGGAATTTCTGTTAGCATTGTAGTTTGTTCCCTGAGAGTGATGCATGTTATCTCTCATGTCCATTTAAGCAGATAGTAGTGAAACCTATTTTATTCAGCTTGTGCTGTCATAACAAAATACCTTAGACCAGGTGGCTTGAACAGCAGGAACTTACCTTCTTACAGTTCTGGAGGCTAAAAAGTCCCAGATTAGTGTGTCTATTAGTTTGGTTCCTGGTAAGGAAATAATTAGTATTAGTTAATGGAGTACCTATTTTGGGATACTTTCTATTTTTTGCCCTGAATCTAAATTTTGAGAGCATTATAAATAGCAGAATTTTAAAATACAGTAAAATTGCAATAGAAGAAGACCGTTAGGTCAAAATTGTCCTAAATATTTGCCTTCCAGTTTGCATGGGAGATATGAGTATGTGAAGGTCACATTTCTGTGTCCACTTTGCAAAATAATACACTCCTGCTATTAGAAAACATGAAGCCATCTTTTACTACAAGGAGACAGACTGCCTCATATAGGAAAGCTGTGTCAGAATAATGGCCTGGTCTCTATAAATTATGGACTTTACTCGAAGGGTTCAATCTCACCTTTCCTGTAAGTTATGTTGATAATGCTCTTCTTTTGGAAATGAGGATGTCTTGTAGCTATATATCTAGTTATTACATGGAAGGGTATCAGGGACAAATCATGGGAAAACGTCCAGACCCATCTGAGAATATTAGGTTTGATTGGTCTGTAAATACCCATTATACATGCTAGAGCAGAACATTGATATGATGAATATAGTGTTTATGGAAGATTATTTTAACAGCCCTGTAGAGTCTGAAAGGAGTAGAAGAAATACAGGAAAGAGGAAAAATAAAGAATTTTAAGTATGTCCAAGCATCATTGCACATTGCTCCAGTGATTTGAGAAGTGCCTTTCCAAACTAGCTATGGGTTAAAAGAAGGGAACTACCTGTGACTTCCAGTTGATCAGAAAAATGATTTAGAGGGTATCAAATGTTAAGAGCTGTTTGCAGTTTTTCATTCTTTCATTTATCCTGGGACCTCAGTAAAATAGTTACAAAAGCTCATGTTTCAGCCAACCCCCAAATTACTGTGTAATCTGATGAACATTATGATAGAGGGATAAGTAGTAGACTGTAAAAATACAGAAGGCAACATTTGAATCAGTGCTTTGATTTATATACCTACCTCCTCAAAGTTTAAGGAACACGAAACAATTCCCTCTCTAATGGGAACCTCAGTGTTCATGATTCCCATCAGGGAGGGGAGACCCTGAGGACAGACAGGCCAGGGGTAGGAGGAGACAAGTGTTAGAACAGCTGGGAAGTTGCCCAAGGAATTCTGGTCCAACCTCCTGGGGAGGGTGATCTGGTTGTATACACAGTATACTCACACCGATTCGTGTCTTCACACATGTACTTTGGATAATAATGATCATCACATTCCACCATCATTTCTAACTCCTATGCATTCTCTTGAGCTCAGCCAAGCAGACCCTACAGGAGGATGAATGCTTCCCATAGATACTCACCCAAACAACTTTCTAGGGTATTTTTTCCTGCTTGTTTTGTTTACATTCTCTTGTTTATAGCTGGTACATATTGTCAGAAAATTCACTTTCCTCCTTCCCCAGAATCCCCCCATTTGCGGGCTGGAGATAGAAGGAAACTCATATGAAGAAATGAATTCTAGATCTGCCTATATGAACCCTGGTCTCTTATCAACCTCCTGTGTCCTCTGTTAGTTACAGTTCCTTAGGAACATTAGGATATTCCCCAACTCTTTGGTTTCTTCCCTGCATAGCCTTCAAGCAGAACTGAGATGTACTTTATAATTGTATAATACAAATGTCTTACACATAAATTTGAGCAAATAATCACAAATTAAACAAGATTCATAGTAGAGATATGTTTTTCTCTTTTTATAAACAAAAAGTAATTTCATTTCTCATCTTGATTATTTTCAAATATATTTATCTCTTGTATTTTCTCCTAGTGTGCCCTGGTATATGAATGTACAGCCCCAGAAAGTGTGAGTGGAAAAGATAACTTACCTTTTTTGAATGCAGGTATGTAACTCAGTTTTTGGATAATTATATGAGTGTCAAATGAACATAGACTCGAATTTTCTATGAATTTAACTCTGCAACTGGGCAGTTTTGCCAGAGAATGACTTCTGAGCACTTAATAAATAAACTGGGAATCAGGTAGAGCCAGCTGAATAGAGGCAGAGTATACAATTCCATAGGAAACATAGACAAATACCTTAGCTATATGTAGAAGACCTCTTGGCCATGGAACTGAATATTATATGAAATATAATATTTGTCTGTTGCTCATAGTCATGTATTGCAATTTTAGCAAACACTAACAGACAAATAGAAAGAGAACCTCTTATCTAGTTTGACTTTCTAATTATATACTTCATAAAATGATGTTGTTAAGATGATAGATGAGGGGTTGGGGCTGTGGCTCAGTAGTAGAGTACTTGGCTAGCTCAATCCTCAGTACCACATATAGAATCAATCAATCAATCATCAATCAATCAAATAAAAGGTATTGTGTCCATCTACAACTAAGAAAAACTTCTGAAAAAAAGATAAATGAATTCAATAGGAAAATTTATAACCACATTTGAATATCCTTAGGCAGGTGTCTGTTACTCATAGTCATGTATTGCAATTTTAACAAGGCATCAAACAATGTATTAAATGCATTTATGTATAAAATTGAAATGTGTGGTGTGGTTAGGATATGTGTGATAATATTGAATGTCAACTTATGTAACTATTTTTGAAGGATAATGTGAGTTAATATGACCATTATCAATAGATAATGGTTGCTATGGTGACAGGCAGTATACCTGATGCCTCTGGAAGTCCTGCAACACATGTTTGGGGAAGGTGTTACCATTGCAACACTGTGCAGATGAGGAAATCGTTAGGTGTCCCCCACCTGGTAAATAGTAGTGGGTACAGAATTCACACCAGTTTCTGTACTAAGGCATTTGTTCTTGCGTCCCAGGCCATGCCACTACTTACCAAATTGCTGTCACAGTAAAATAAGTCTTCTATATTTTTCTTGTTCTGCTGTGTTATTTACATTGCAATAGCAACATAGATAGCATGAAAATCAGATTAATGAATGGTGCAGAACTTCAAAGACTTACTAATACATAACTTCTAAATTATTAGCTGTTTATTAGGGGCAGCTAATAATAGGCACTGAAGAAGAGAATACACCCTTTGACTGTATTATACACACAAAGAAATCAAAATAAATTTAATTGAGAAACATGTAAAAAAAATCAACCCTACTTATACCAAATGAAGCATTATGTCAGAAAAGAATAGCTGCTTCTCAACCCTTGAACAAATGGTATGGGAGCTTTTTGTTTGGATGGTTATTTTTTATTGAAGATTTAATCTCAGAAGTGATGTGAATAACAGTGTTGAATGGTCTACCCAGACAGCTAGATCATCCATAAACCATAAAATATCTGATAAATTATCAGTATGGTTCAATATCTGAAGTGTTATCAAAGGTCTTGTTCATGTTTATTTTTTCATCTGAAGGTTTACTAAACCTTTAGTCCTTTACTTTAATATGTTCATATGATCTGTTTCATTTTATGACATGTTTTCTTGAAAAATGATTTTGAGTGTGACAGATATTGAGTTCATGTTAAATACAATTGGAATGACTCATGTTATCACTCACATCATCTATACTGTAATTATCACATAATTGAAAGTTTCATTCATGTTAAACCTTTACCTTTCAACACACAAAAAGAAATGTCATTTTTAAGATACTGATTGGTTAAATTTCAAAGCAAAAGAGAAAATTTACTCCTAAGTAAACAAATGTTAGGACCAAAGGAATAAGTTACAGACGTAGAATACTGGAAAATGAATCCACACCTCCTAAGACCTAGGTCTGGAGTCTGTACGCTTTGGAAACACGTATTCTTTGAGATTACTAGATCATTGCTTGTTATGTGTACATTATAAGACAAAGACAGCAGATGTGGAATTCATGGGAACAGCTGAATTCCGCACTTAAGTGCATTTACTTGGTGGAGTGAAACACTGTGGGTTAATGCTTTTCTCCATTCACGGTGGTGACAGTTGGTGGTGATATTCCATGTTTTTCTGAAGCTATTACTAAATGTCTTTACTCCAGGGAAACCCAAGGAGCTTTCTGACCATAGATTATTTATCACAAATATTTTATGAGTCAGTTTATATTAGGAAAGATCAGACTAAAAGAAAGTCAGTGTCATAAAGGCTAGATTTTTAGAAAGTTTTAAAAATACAAGCTAAGCACTACACATAAACTATCTCTGTTCAAAATAAAAAGTGCATTGTACTGGCATAGAATATGTATGACTTTGGCCTGTGTGTACCTTTGTCTTTTGTTCCATTTATTTATCTATATAAACTCAGCAACTTTGGAATAAATCCATTAAACTCCCAAGTGGTACTTTTTTTTCTTTTTTAATCTGTAGGCAAAGGGAGCTATTGACATTCTTCTCAAGGCTTTGTATTAATATATTATATGGAACTTGCCGGTCTCCAGTGAGTTATGAAGTACTTTTTGAGTGAGTGGGAGAGAATGTCGTATCTCCGTGTATTCTTCAGTATTCTATTTATATCTCCAGAGGTTTCATTTATAACTCAGGAAATTCTCTTATCTGTTGTAAAAAGAAAATCTCTTCACCCGAAGTTCTCACCCTTTTCATGGCCTATTTACCTTGCAAGTCAAATGTTTAAGTCAGGAATTTGGGGAATTGAGGGCAGGAGAAGAAGGAGGAGAAGGAGTGGTGGGGGCAGAATTTACAATTCCATAAGAATGAAATATAAGTACCTTTGCTGTATGGGAAAACAAACCAAACCAAAGACACAGTGATAAGTATCAGAGAGAGGAAGCTCTTATTTAGTTTGACTTTCTAAATATAGAGCCTATAAAATAAGGTAGTTAAAACATAGGCTTATCTCCTTAATTATTTATGAATTCATTTAAGCAGAATAGTAGTAAGAAAGCTGAAAGTTTTTGATGTTGGGGGATGGGCAGTGGGGAATTAGCTTTGACTGTATAGAAGTACAGAGGGTCAGGTCCCAAACCTGGGCATGGGGTTGGGGGTTCTTTTTAAGTCACATCAGGCCTAGTACCTTTCCCACTGCTGGCTTTTGTGGTAATCATGTAAGAGCATAGCCCAGGCTGTCTTAAGAACCAATGCCAGCCCTAGGTTTACCAACAAGCAGGTGACACCAGTGGACAGACAGGGTGGCCTCTTTGGACATCAAGTGGCCACATTAACCTCACGAGTCCTTAACGTCCCTTTTGCCTCTCTCATGTTTGAGGTGAGTGTAGCAGAGTTAACTTTTGCTTTGTTTTCCTTTTTAGAAATATTTTGTGAAAGTATGTACTTTAATCAGTTTCACATGGAGTCACATACAAACTCTGGCATTCACAGTTTTATCTCTGGGGAGTTGTCATTTACTGCCAAAATGCCTGCCTAGAGATCAGACTTCTCACAATATTATCAAGGAGACAATTCTCCCTAGCTATCTCAAATTCTCCTTTTTTTTTGTAAGATTACAAAGAATACTTTAGCCCTCAGATCATACATCACCATGACTCATCTGAGGAGCCACGGGGCCATGTCATAGAGCTCCCTGTTATCATCCTGTTTTGAGTGTGTTTTCCATCTCAGTGAGCATTAGATTGGATGCAGCATCTTCCTAGGTTGAATCCCGTACTTCATGACTTTGTCCTTTATTTCCTTTGAAGACCACGTTCATGCTGACTCTCAATATGTATGCTGTCCCTCGTATTCAAGGAGGGCAGCTCCGACAAGCTGTGATTTCCATGACTGTGTAGGTTGGGATCTAAACAAAGATGAGGGACTGGCTGCTGTCAGTCATAAATGCACGCCGTTTGCCTTCCTGTTTGGACAGTTTGTTGGTGTTTCTATTTCTTGCTTCACACAAGAACCACATCTTTCCTCAAAATAGGCCTCCATGTCTTGGATTCTTTATCCCTAAATAGGGTTAAACCATCCAGTACTGTTGCTTCTCAGAAGATGAAGGAGTGTAAATTATTGGAGAAGAGATGTTGCTATTTCTTTCTTTTCTTCTTTCTTCTTGTATTTATAGTATGCATTTTTTTTAAACAAGCATTGGACCCATAAATCTTTTATTTGAATTTCACATTGTCTAACATGCACCTTTTCCCATTGACCTAATAAAAGTCTTCTATCATGTAGAACTTGATCAATAATTTATTGGTAAAATAAAAATTTATTATTAAGAAATAAGAGTTTTCAGCCCTGCTGAATGTGCACCTTTGAAATTAAAAAAAAAAAAAAAAAAAAAAAAAACAGAGAAGATAGCAGATTCCCTTTAGATAAAGGCAATTTCTAACTCTAAACACACACACACACACACACACACACACACAAAAAAAAGAAAACAACAACCTGGGGCTTCTCTTTCTTTAATCTCATGGAGAAAAAGCTCTAAAAATTGAGGGACTTGGAGTTCCAATGTAGATACATTCCTCTCACTGAGAGCCTCTTAAAAGCACCGGGGACTGCCCCATCTTGTGATGGATGTGAGCATCAGCCAGTAGTGGACACAGGCCTGGCTAGAGAAATTTTTTCTGCTTCATGTAGAATCATAAATTTGAATTACCTTTTACATTACCATGCAACAGAACTAAATATTGAGATAACATTCTCATAAACTCCACCATCTGTGATTCATAATACTTTAAGAGATTGTCAAAAATATTTCCTTCTGGAATCCTTTTGAGTTCTCATGTATTCCAGCCAAAAAGCAAATCTTGCTTTTGCCTTTTTTTCTTCGTATTCATGTGGTGTTTTATCTATTACCTTGTCAAATGTCAGATGATATCATTTTATATTAACAAAATTACCATGTATTCTTACAAGTTTAGATAGATTTTTTTTCCCCCCTTATAACTCTCTGATCATAAAAATTTGGGCCCATTGTGGCTTGTAACCTTGGCCCTTGCTCCTTTTTAGTTGCCAAACATCTTTGCT